AAATGCAAAATGTTGTAAAAGACACACTTGTGTTAAATACTTTCCTTCAATCACAGCAACAAAATGTGTCTATTTTATTCTTGTCTTAGATCCAATATGTTTGTGTTTCACTATTGAGACAATTTTTGTTTTGTTTATTTCCATCGTAAATAATATTGTTTTGGATTATAAATGAAATGGCATGGGGTTTAACGTCCTACTGTTCTGCTCCGACTGGGCTAATGAAGATGGGCATATGCCATACAGTGTGCTATAAGGGAAATTTTGCCCAGGCAGCGGCACTATGTCCTACTCTTATATCGAATTTCAATTGTCAAGGGATCTTTTACGTGCACGCCAAGGGTTAGGAATCTTTTACGTGCATAGCAATGCATATACAGGACCTCGATGTTTCGTCCCATCCGAACGACTATAAAGCTGGCCTTGTCAGACTCTCCGTCCTGCACCACTGCCAAGGGGAAACCACATCGGAAAATCCCGATGAACTTTCTCGGCCAATGTAGGGATCGAACACGCGACCTCCAGGCTAGCGAGCCAGCGTCTTGTCCGCTTAGCCACCGTGGCTCCTGTTTTTTAATATTATGTCGGTTCGGGTAAGTAGGGGGAAGCCGGTAGTACCTGGTGAAATAAATAACCCGATTTATTTTCAAATCGTTTTGGTACTAACATATGTCATCTTTTTAGTTTAACGGTGGGAGGAAGTCAAAGAGACAGAGAAACAAATGGGGTTTAACGTCCACTTGACACAAACTAGGTCATATCTGGGTTAACATGGAGGGGGGCAGAATGGTTAGCACGTGTACGCTTCATCATAAGATCTGCCATTGAGTCAACTGGCGTGGTCTCGATTCCCCGGTTGTACGTCACAAGGAGTAGGGTCGCCTGTTCAACCTTGTGAGTTTTCTCCGGGTCCACCGGTTTCCTCCCACTGCTAAAGATGTTAAATCCCATTTCTCTCTCTCCCGGGTGAACTATCTTAATTATGGAAAGATATGACGTTATTTATTTAAATCATATCTTCTCGTATATACGTGGGATCACGTGACTAAGTGGGTAAGACGCTGGCTCGCTAGCCTGGAAGTCGGGTGTTCGATCCCTGCATTGACCGAGAAAGTTCATCCAGATTTTCCGGCGTGGCAGTGATGCAGGATGGAGGGCCTGACAAGGACAGCTGTCTAGTCGTTCGGATGGGACGAAAAACCGAGATCCCGTGTATACATTGGCGTGCACGTAAAAGATCCCTTGGCAGTTGGAATTCGATATAAGAGTAGGCGATAGTGCCGCTGCCCGGGCAAAATTTCCCTCATAGCACACTGTATGACGTATGCCCGTCTTCATTAGCCCAGGTTAGGAGCAGAACAGTAGGACGTTAAACACCATTTCATTTCATTTCATTTCATTTCTCGTATATACGACTGCTAACAATTCTGAAAACCATTCAAACATTCAAATACCACTCTTGATTTAAAGTTAAATGCCAAGGGATCTTTTACGCGCACTCCAATGTTCGCGTCCGTTTTCGTCCCATCCGAACGTTTAGACAGCTGTCCTTATCAGGCCCTCTGTCCTGACCCACTGGCAAGGGAAAAACACGCCAGAAAATCTCGATTAACTTTCTCGGCCATCGCCGGGAGCGAACCAGCTACCTCCAGGCTTGGCCACCGTGGCTCTCGCTCTTGGTTTAAAGAGTTCGAGTTCACATGCGATGTAATTGTGCATTGTTAAATTTGATGGAAATCAGCTTCTGAATCAAACCCCCACCATGAAATTGGCTAAGCTGGCATAGGTAGGAATATGCGTCGACTGTGTAGGTATTCAAAATGGGGCTAGGTAATTTATCACCGGACAGTGCAAATTGTCTGCCTCCTGTTACCAGCATCAATTTAAAATGTAATCTTCTGTACCTATGGGGGTTTCGATGGCACTTGTGTTGTTTCAGTATAACCACACATACATATACATATATCTGTCAAATCCAATTCAATTTATACTTTATTTAATTTTTAACTGCGGGTTCATTCTGATTAAAATACAGATCTATATTTCGTTTCGTTTTTTATACTTTCGACGGCCTCTACTACATGAAGATCTGACCGGTTGTAGTGTAAGGTCGCGTCAGGGGTCATACGAGCGACTTTTGACCTTTGACGTCAAATATTGATTAACCAGCAAGCGTTGATGATTCTAGTGAGTTACCCACAGTTCCGTGCATCTCACACCAAAAGCTCGTCGTAACAGATCATTTCATTGGCTAATATCTCACATCACCTATTATATAACAACGAAATTTTGAACTATATAAAACAAATTGAAATAGGATCTGTGTTTTAATCAGATTGATGTTATGCTCTTCTATTGGCCAGTAATATGCGGGGGATCACGTGGCTAAGCGAGTAAGACGCTGGCTCGCTAGCCTGGAAGTCGGGTGTTCGATCCTTGCACTGGCCGAGAAAGTTCATCCAGATTTTCCGGTGTTGTTTCCCCTTGTCAGTGATGCAGGGAGGAGGGCCTGACAATCCGTTCGGATGGGACGAAAAACCGAGTACATATTGGCGTGCACGTAAAAGATCCCTTGGCAGCTGGAATTCGATATAAGAGTAGGCCGTAGCGCCACTGCCCGGTCAAATTTCCCTCATAGCACACTGTATGGCGTATGCCCGTTTTCATTAGCCCAGTTTAGGAGCAGAACGCTACAGTAGGACGTTAAACCTCATTTCATTTCATTTCATTCAATATGCACGTGTAATTCAATTCTATACAGCTGCCTTGAACACAGCACAATTTTTATTATCAATTTCTGTTTTCAAGACATACATTTTTAATAGAAGGATTTTAAAGATATTGTTCTAAAGATAATCGTGAACCAGAATATATTCGACCATGAATCATTTTTTATTTAATTTTATATTTTAAAACCTTTTTTGATAGCTTTCAAATAATAACTTTGTATTATATGAATAATCTTCGTTTGCCACTTCTCCGGAGTACTAAGAAGGTGGGGATCACGTGGCTAAGTGGGTAAGACGCTAGCTCGCTAGCCTGGAGGTCGGGTGTTCGATCCCTGCATTGGCCGAGAAAGTTCATCCAGATTTTCCGGCGTGGTTCTCCCTTGTCAATGATGCAGGACGGAGGGGCTGACAAGGAAACCTGTCTAGTCGTTCGGATGGGACGAAAAACCGAGGTCCCGTGTACACATTGGCGTGCACGTAAAAGATCCCTTGGCAGTTGGAATTCGATATAAGAGTAGGCCGTAGTGCCGCTGTCCGGGCAAAATTTCCCTCATAGCACACTGTATGGCGTATGCCCGTCTTCATTAGCCCAGGTTAGGCGCAGAACAGTAGGACGTTAAACTCCATTTCATTTCATTTCATTTCATTACTAAGAAGGTAACAGATTTTTGGTAAATCGCTCGCCCCCGCCTTGCAAAAACTGGATTAATGAAGACGGGCATACCAGGGGCTCCGGAACGGCGGGCGGGCCGGATACCAAAAGATTGGGGGGGGGGGGGTCTCTCCCCCCGGCCTCTAGAAATTTAGAAATTTTTCAGTTCCAAGAACGCTGTTTAGAGCGCCTCTAGCATTCCAAATTCCAACACCCTTTAAAATACATGATAATGAAAGAGACAAAGGCCTGATTATTCACAAATGAATTGACTAGTAAAAAGGTTGAAAATTTCATCATTAGGGCATGGGTATACATGTAGACCCCATTTGTATATCCTGGTACCCGGGATCCGGCGCCCCTATACGCCATGCAATGTCAAGATCTAAATCTGCCTATTGCAGTTCTTTCGTTTGGGCACAAATTTTCTATAAATTTTTAATCAGACATTTATTCACATGTCAAGCCCATAATCAACTCTCTAGGCCATTGAATGTTTTTGATTTTTAACGGATTTAAACAGGATTTGCAGTTAATAATTTAATTATTATTTAATTTTAAAAAATGGATAATCAAGACTTTGTTTATTATAGTAACATCGGTATCAATGAAAGTCGAGACGGATGGCGCGCCAAGGAAGACTGCCCAGTCGTTCAGATGAGACGAAACTCCAAGTACACAATGGTGTGCACGTGACGGAACCTTTGCAGTTGGACATTGAAATAAGATCAGGCCGTAGTGGTGCTGTATATAAAACATTTCTTAATTGACTTAGAACATTAATTAGTTTTAGACTATCTGGTTTTTTTTTATACATTTCACCTATGTGGTTACTTGTATAGTTAAATTTTACTACAGTATGCTTACATTCATATTTCTTGTAACATATAGCACATTTCATGACTCATGCTGACATTACACAATGGTTTCTCTGGGTTTTATTCCTGATTGTTTTCAAATTTGAGTGAAGTCTGTGTCACTACAGTACAGGCCCGGGGCTGTACAGCGCAGTGGACGCTTCCGGCTAACCCCCGGATCCATTCACTTTATTTGAATTGTAAGTTTCTTTGTGAGTTCTGCGTAATATGTTTTGTCCGTATATCTGCTTTTGTGTAAATTATGTGTGGTGCAGTCCCTCTGCACTTAATAGACCAGGATCCCAAGGGGTCAACCTAGCTGAAAAGTGTACCAATTGTCTCCTATATGGTATCAAGGCATGCATATCTGGTATCATCAGAATGTAAGTCTGCCCCGGGTATCTGGTGGTGGGTGTGGTATTCCACGCCCAAAATGTCATCCCCCCACCCCCAACTAGGCTAGATAAGCTCAAAAGTGTACCACATGAAAATCGTACAGCAGTGTACCGTACATCTTCAGGCAATACAAAAATAATCCCACAGACATTTCTAGTGGTGGGGTACCCCTGATGATATCAGATATGCATATGCATTTATACCAAATAAGAGACAATTGGTACACTTTTCAGCTGGGTTGACCCCCTGGGCTTCCGCTATATCATAGCACACTGAATGACATTTGCCCGTCTTCATTAGCCCAGTGTGACTTTAAACCACATTTCATTTCATTTCATTTAACCACTTATAATCGACCTACTGAAGGATAGCACAGTTGTGTAACTACAACATCCATAAACCAGTGTGCTCCATATGACATAGTTAATGTTTGTAAGGCATCTATTGATGGGGGAAAAAGTCAAGTTGATATTTGATAGTTAATGTAGTGACCTGATTTAACAGAGGCTTCATAACCAACTGACTACTATGGAGGAGAGCAATCTACTGAGAGATGAACATTATAATACTCATTTTGATCCTGATACGTTTATTAACTCGTATTATACTGTTTTAGACGATACAATCGAGGATGGATTAACACCCTTTGTATTAAAGGGTCTACACGATGTCTTTAAAACAGGTAATTATGTTTTCCCCACTCGGCTAACCTGAGCAGATTCCAATACCCTACATCTAGCCTCCAAGGCCGTATATAGATAAAGTTGCGACAACACTGTGAAGCAAGAAATTTCATATGACGTCATGAAAATATGACGCCAAGTGTACAAAGACGCCATCTTTTTGTGCAGACGGGTAAAGTGAAAAATTAAAATTTAAATAGTAATTTGGGAGATAAAACCTTTTTGCCTTCTAGTCAGCAAAATAAATGCCTGACATTCCATATTTTTTTGGTCTAGAGCCATTCCGGATTGTGTGTCAGTTTTCGTTCATCGATCATTAATTATATCATCTATTTTTCGTAAAAACGGAAATTTCTTTAAATTCACTAATAGATAAAACATTTAAAGTCAGGGTAAGTTAAAATCAGTGTACAATCAGTGTAATTTATATAAAAGGTGTCTAGCGTGACATGTGTTTCGGGCATATGTTTCATCAGTCACATGTGATACGAGATATCGGTTTCTTTTGCAATTTGTTTGAGGTAAGACATTATCACTCCCCACCCATGTGTGGGTGAATAATAATATTAATCAAATATATAAACCGCACAAATTTAACGGATACAAATAATGTACATGTTATTCCACAGATAGACGGGCATTGAAGGGGCACAGTGAAGGAAATGCAGTTGGTTTAGAGTTTGTCCGACTCCTTTGGGTATTTGCGCCCCATTTCCAATGAAATAACCATGTTGTTCTGATGCTCAACTAGTATCAAACATATATCGTGTCTGAGATTTGTTCGAGCATGTTCCACACATCAACATTTATCAGCTTTTTGTTCAATCCATAATAGCTTACATTTCTTCAAAATGTTTTGTTTAGTCAAGTGAAACAAGAAAAGGCTAAATGGAACAATATAACAAGGACATCTTATATGTCGAGAAATACGTAAAACTGTGAAATAAGATACTTCTATGATATGATTCAACCGAAAGATCCTATATATTATATGCAACATAGATATATAATATCTACATTCAAGTTAAACGAACTGTATCTATTCATTTTAAGTACTGCGTCGAGCTGAATAAAGTATATGATTTATTGTCATTAAAAGATCTGTGGGTGGTTGGTTAACAACATGTAATTAAAAACTATGAAATTATAGTCAATTTTTATAAGACATAGAACGTTAAACCCATTTCATTCGACATGGAGGGTTGGATGGCTGAATGGTTAGCACACGCGCGCTGTATCATAAGGTCTGTCATTAAGTCAACTGGCGTGGTTTCGAATCCCCGATTGTACGTGACAAGGAGTAGGATCGCCTGTCTAACCTCGTGGGTTTTCTCCGGGTCCTACGGTTTCCTCCCACTGCTAAAGACCCCTACGCGCAAGCATATTATTGAAATAAAATTAAAACCATATGTTAGTACCGAAATGACCTAGTTTGTGTGGAGTGGACATTATACCCCATTTCTCTCTCTCTCTCTCTCTCTCTCTCTCTCTCTCTCTTTTTATACGCCCACATATCATTGAGGGCGTTTTATGTCGTGACCCTATCTGTTTGTCCGTCCGTCCGTCAACAATGGGCTTGTGGACGCGATATAGAGTAGACTTCATATTTGGCAAGATTCCTTTCAAATTTGGTGTGAAGCATTATGACTTTTCCATCTGAAGTTATTCCACCCTTTGTCGAAAACCTTGTGAACGCATTAGAGGCTACATTTTTTAAATGATTCTTTTCAAATTTCATGTGAAGCACTGTGGCCGTTAGCAGACGAACCCTATTAATATTCAATATTCTGCGGCTTTCAGTTCCAGGGTTATCCTCCTTTTGCCGAAATATCAAATTTGATCAACATCCAAGTTTTCCTTTCGGAGAGGCTGGTGTAGAGACATTGCTGCTGTGTGGGCATATTTCCACGCCCTATATGTGGCTATATTTTAAACTTGTAAAGGTAATGATATCATTTGGCGCTGAAATTTAATGTTGAATATTTAGGTAATGTGAAGGGTACACGACTACTGGACATTGGAACTGGTCCTGTTCCACATTCTGTAATTCCTGCAGTTCCGTTTGTTCAAGATATATACCTAACAGACTTCTCAACGGTTAATAGAAAATATCTGTATGATGCTTTGTTTGGATCTGGTGAACAAGAGTATTCCAGTATTTTTAAATTTTTGGCAAAGTTAAGCGATAAAAGGTAAGATTACGAATAAATTTTTAACGAAATTCCTACTATCAAGGGTAAGGGTGCCCCACCATAAATAAATATCTCCAAATATCTCGACAATTACACCACAATATCTATATATACACCAAGCCTTAAATCAGTTTCAAACATTAATAGTCACTAATCATCCATAAATATTACACTGAAAGATGGTTCCGAATGTCGGCCATAACATCCTAGCACATGTGAGTAAAAAATAGGCTACGTGCCCTTGTTTTGAAAGTAGTCTCGCTTATCCAGTCTACCGACCATTCTATGTTTGATTAACAGGCCGGGATAATCAAGACTACTTTTTTACGAAACATAACAGAAAGCTGGACCAATAAATTGAATTTAGAAACACGCACGTTGGGCAACTCAACAATTGTTATAAGAACCTTGTAAAAGTAAAATGAAACTACTGCTAGTATCATGTTCTTGCCAAACGCAAGTATTTCATAGATATTATTTGTACTAAACCAAAAGATGCCGCTCCTAATGGTACAGTTAATGATAAAGCAATTTAAAAAAATAAAACAAACGTAATTTCTAAAGCTGCTGTAATAGCCAATAAGCTAAATATTACTGGTATTCAGAATCGTCAACAATAGATGTTTTACAGCTGTAATAGTTGATAGATTTGCACCCCCCACCCTATATGTATTTTATCTATATTTAATTTATTTTATCTCTTTTTTTATTTTATCTATCTTTTAAAATATTTTATCTCTTTTTTTATTTTATCTATCTTTTAAAATATTTTATCTGGTTTTTTTTTTAAATATCAGAGGTGCAGGGCAAGGGCAGCTGTCTAGTCGTTCAGATGGGACGAAAAACCGAGGTCCCGTGTACATATTGGCATGCACGTAAAAGATCCACAGGTAGTTATCACTGTAGGACGTTAAACCCCATTTCATTTCCGCTCATCTAAATCCTGCGCCGATTCCAAGGAATTTTCTCAGCAAACCCTGAGATTGAACCAACAACCCCCGCCCTCGCCCCCACCGCGGTTACTTAGTCAGTGCCTTCCTCATACTGTATTATATTTTTTTTTATTCAGTCAACCCTGGTCAAAACCTTCTGATGACTTCAAAGGCAAAGTCTGTGGAATATTTCCTTGTGATCTGTTAAAAGATGATATATTTGGAACGAGTTACTTCCCCTTGTTTGATGTCATCACAACAAGTTTGTGTATGGAAGTTGCTGCTCCAGATGTAGGCACGTACGGAACGATTGCCAAGAAAATATCCAAATATCTTAAAGTTGGTGGACATTTGGTTATTGTTGGTGTACTGGCCGAAAACTATTATTTTGTCGGGGAATATAAATTCTTTAACTTAGCTATTACAGAAGATGAAGTGAAATCATGTTGGGAAGGTGCTGGGTTTTCAATACACAGCTGGAATCTTATGAAACGACCAGACCCAAGTCAATACTCTGATTTTGGTGGCGCTTTTGTTATGCATTGTTTTAAGGAATTTTAATTGGTAAGCATCAATCTGATTAAATAACAGATCCTATTTTGTTTCGTTTTTTTATACATGTAGTTCAAAATTTCTTGTCTTTACTACACTTAGATCTGGAAGTTGTGTTATATTACCGACGTTATGGTTTCGATTCCCCGGTTGTACGTGACAAGGTGTAAGGTCGCCTGTCCAACCTCTGGTTTCCCCCCACTGCTAAAGACCCCTATGCCCAAGCGTATTATTGAAATAAAATTGAACCATATGTTAGTCCCGGAATGACCTAGTTTGTGTCGAGTGGACGTTAAGCCCCATTTCTCTCTCTCTCTGCCTCCTACTCTAGAATACCCACAAGAATATTCATTAATATATTATGTTTTTATTGAATAAGAATTAAAAGATAAACACATAATTTTAAAAACTTTTATATATCATGCTAGATCTACATAAAATATTTATATCGGTAATATAATAAATTTTATATACAATATATACATACAGTGTATTTATTTGTTTAGTTTTAAAATTCTTACTTGAATTCTTACATCATTTCATGCTATTCACTGCACATGAAACATTGTTATATTTACAAATTGAAATAAATGTTTGCATGTAAATTCTCAAGACAAAACAAACATTAAAAGGGTCTGGTTCCAAATTCGGTTAAGTTTGGAGAATATTATAAATAGTTTAATAACATTAATAGGTCCCAATTGAAAAAAAAGTAATTTAATAATATTGTATAGAGCGGCAATACTATATACTGGAAAACAACCCGAAAACACTGGAAAACAACCCGAAAACACCATTTTATACTGAATACCGGAAAACGCCGGAAAAACACTAAATACCGGAAAACACACAAAATACTGGAAAATATCCTAAATAGGTAACCTGCGGCCTGGTCCTCTGTGTGCCTGGGTTAGGGTTAGGGTTAGTTTCCGGTTTATAGTATAGCCCTTCTCCGGGTTACCTATTTAGGGTGGTTTCCGGTATTTAGTGTGTTTTCCGGTGTTTTCCGGTATTCAGTATAACATGGTGTTTTCCGGTTGTTTTCCGGTATATAGTATAGCCCGTATAGAGTAATAAACCAATTTTGCTATTTCAAAAATTTTCTTATCAGACATTTTTACCGAAAGTTAAGAGGCATAACTCTTATTGTTATTTAAGCAGGCGGTTTCAGATCACAATTAAAATTCATGTGTCAACAAAATATTCAAATTTGTATGTAGTAAACTATATACATACTTAACGTAAAATCAGTAGAGGTTTTCATAAACATGTGTTCTAGTTCTTTAAGTAATTTAATATTCCTATCAACTGCCAAGTTCAGGGCAAAAGTTATTCACAATTCAATATCTTTTGTTGAAGATAAAATACTAGTAGGCCTAGCTACTGATAAGCAATTAAAATATTTTCAAAGCCTTTGAAAAGATTTAGAAAAATTTTCTGTACAGCAAATTTTGATTGGTAGGTTAATTTACAGACGACCAATCATAAGCTGTGCATTTCTGATTGTGTACCCTAAAGAAATGTTTGAATAATTTTAATTTAAAAAATGTTTGAATAATATATTTATTTAAAAAAAAAATCTTTGTATAATTTTAATTAAAAGAGAATTTGAACAATTGTAATTAGGCAGATTTTGATTGGTAGGTCAATCTACTAATGACCAATCATAATCTGCGTATTTCTGATTGTGTACCCTAAATAAATCTTTAAATTATTTTAATTAGACTGTAAGAGTATAAACATAGTAATTAAGGTGATTATTTGGTATTGTAAAACATCTAATAAATAATAATTGGATTAAATATTGCACAAATATCAAAAAGAGAAAATAATCATCACAGAGACATTGTAGGGTTTTTTATATATGGGGTGTCTCCACAAAAATATGTCCCCAGACACCTGTTCAACGGTAAGTGGGTATGTGGAGGTGGGGGTGGCGGCATTCATTGAGATAGCGTCAAACAAACAAATGTGGGAATCATTCCGGACATTTCGGCTTCACTCCACGCTAATACTACATGCACCTGAATGAGCAGAAATATTGTCCCAAGAGCTTCTCACTTTATATAATTCTCGGGTTTATACTCCCAGACCACACGCCAAATATGATGTCTTCATCTTGGACCCTATATTTCCCAGGTCTTTAGATTCCTTATAAAAAGCCCTGCATCAGCCCCATCTTATATGTGGCATAATTATTTTTGGAGGATACCCTATATGTATAATTACACAGCAGATATACAATATATATTTATACAACATACAATGTTAACAGAATATAGGTCCAATATATATAGAAATTAAAACCAAATTCAGAAGATATGGGGGGAAGACAGGTGAATAAACTAATACATTGTGTTTTTAGTTTAAAAAATGCCCTGGGTATATGCCCTCGTGGTCCCAGTTTTTGCCTTGGTTTCTTAATCATATTTAGAGCTTTAATTATGATAGTTCAAAAGAATAGTCCTGTTTTTGCACAGGGTATCCCCTCAAACTATTCCCAAACTTAAACAGTACTTGCATTTAATAATTGTGATTGATTAATTGGTTTGAATACTAGTATACTGGGCCCTTTTCAAGAATTATTTCAAATTTTAAGAATACAGGCTTTTCCATTGGCCTAGCCCTAGAGCTAAAACTTGAGTTTATTTTTCAGTTTTCAGCGAATGAAGCAACAGTAATCTTACTTTAAGGTTTTATGAATAGGGGTCTTGGTATTGGTTATACTCATTTTCATTTAAATAAAACTGGCCTCAAATCCTTCTCGATTAACAGTTCTACTGTTAACCCTACTATATTCCACTATAAATAGATGCAATCTGATTAAAATACAAATCTAGAATTCGTTTCATTTATTTATACTTTTGATGGCCTCCACAGAAGCAAAACAAAATTTTGGAGTATAAAAAACGAAACGAAATAGATTGAAATAAATGCTAAATTCTCTCAAGCATATAATTAGGTCATTTATTTGACTCTTGACTCACTAAAATTATTTCTTAACTATTATTTCTAATGAATAGGAAAAATTAAATTAAAAATTCAAATTGCCTAAAACTTTGACATTTTAAATGACCTGGAAAAATCAAATAATACACTCAAATTGCCAAAAGTATGATATTTTAATGAATAGAAGACATCAAATCATAAACTCAAATTGTCTAAAAGGCATGACATTTCAAATGCACAAGAAAAATCAAATAATACACTTCAATATTCCTTAAAATTCCAACCCTCATTGATTTTCATGAAAGATCTTTTTCAAATACAAAACAATCTGATTAAAACACAGATCTTATTTCGTTTCTTTTTTTTATAGTTCAAAATTTCTTTTTTTACTTGTCTTGACTACACTAGGACCTTGAAGAGTTGTTATATAACCTGCGTTCTGATTGTTGTGAGGGATCAGCCAATGAAACGGCCTGTTACAACGAATTCTTGGTGTGTTGTGCACGGAACTGTGGGTAAACCATTAGAAACATCAATGCTGATTGATTAATCAATGTCTGATGTCATAGGGTCAAGAGCCGCTCGTATGAACCCTGACGCGACCTTCCACTACAACTGGTCAGATTTTCATGTAGTAGAGGCCATCGAAAGCATAAAAAAACGAAACAAAATATAGATTTGTATTTTAATCAGATGGAATACAAAATAGCACATAATATGATGCCAAGTTTTTGGGGGTTTTCTTTAAAAAAAAAACAAAACATTAATCAAAATGCAATGTAGGTAATGCTCAGAATATACAATGTATATCAAATCTTACGAAGAGATCGTAAATTACAATAAGCAAAGAAAAAAAGACAGGAATACAGAGTTAAGAAAAGAAGCCTAGTTAATGCTGAGAACTTGTATTAAATCTTAGAAAGAGATCGGAAAATACAATAAGGAAAGGAAAGAAAAGGGGACAGGAATAAGGAGTGATGGAAAGAAAGATTTGAAAGAAATGAAAGAAGAGGGTAAAGCAGGAGATTATATTTCATAATTAATCATATTGAGAATTAGCATTGATTATATATCTTTAAGGTGGCTGGATGTCAACATTACATCTCTCTGCTAAACAGGCTCTTAGAACTCAACTCGCTGATAACCATGCTCTTAGAACTCAACTCGTTGATAAACGAGCTCGTCCAACTCAACTAGCTGATAAACATGCTCTAAGAACTCATCTCATTTATAAACATGCTCTTCCAACTCAACTCACTGTTAAACAAGCTCTTCCAACTCAACTAGCTGATAAACATGCTCTTCCAACTCAACTCGTTGATAAACATGCTCTTCCAACTTAACTAGCTGATAAACATGCTCTTAGAACTCAACTCGCTGATAAACGAGCCCGTCCAACTTAACTAGCTGATAAACAGGCTCTTAGAACTCAACTTGTTGATAAACGAGCTCATCCAACTCAACTCGCTGATAAACATGCTCTTTGAACTCAACTCGTTGATAAACATGCTCTTCCAACTCAACTCGCTGATAAACGAGCTCTTCCAACTCAACTCGCTGATAAACATGCTCTTAGAACTCAACTCACTGATAACCATGCTCTTAGAACTCAACTCATTGATAAACGAGCTCTTCCAACTCAACTCGCTGATAAAAGAGCTCTTCCAACTCAACTCACTGATAAACATGTTTTTCCTACTCAACTCAAATTCTCTGATAACAAATGTCAACAAACATCCTCTTACAAATCAACTCAATAACTGTTTAAAGGGTGTGTGGCTCTATTCTTTGTGACCCCAAAATAGATGAAAACCTAAAACATTCTACTGATGTCGTCTTAAAGGGCGTACAGCTTTATTCTTTAGAACATTAATATAGACGATAATGTGTATGAAAGCACATATTAATGTAATATGAATTATTATTATGTTGTTTCTAAATCGGGCAGTACTTCCGATTGGTCTTGTAGGATATGTTTTTATTTCTTCATTACAAATGGCACCCGGGACCATAGAATACACGACAAATGTACTGATTATTAGGATCTAATATTTTCATGGCAAGATAATCAATATTGATTGAAATTGACCAATATTGAATTCTAATCCATGTATTTTAATTTCTAATATTATGGATAATATTGAATTAGAGGTTAAGCTCCTTTAAAACTGGCATCATGTTAAAGGTTATAGTGTGTCAGATCATAACCATTTGTTACATTGAGTTGTAAGGATGATAAACTGCCACCTTTAAACTTATTAAAATAATATATTTTATACATATCACAATACATAGATAGACATTAAAAATAACAATATAATATAGTCATTTGTAAAAGTTTAAAACCACCAAGCATTGGTTTTTGGCAGGGGGGGTGGGGGTGTCATACATTGTATTGCGTCAGTTAAGATCAAGCAACAGAAGTGATTGCATCAGACGAACAAGGTATTATGTATACGCTCATTCTACACAATGTACACTGACAACAATCTACTCTGCTTTGAGAATAGATCTCTGCTCTAAATGGCTGCCATATCCAACAATTATTATACTGTTTTGTAATGCGGTCCTACTCCGATTCACATCCGTTATACTAATTAAACCTTTTCAATTTTTTAAAGGAAAGCAGAATATATACTTCTCAAAATTCTCAAATTATACTTAAGAGTTTTTGACTAAAATCGCTGATATAGGACTTAAAATGTCGGTTATCTAGCTTAGTGTCTGTTCTCAAGCGGAGCTAATTGTAGACAAACAGCATACGTTTAGTATGAAGTGCGATTTCAGGCCCATAGTGTGTTTCACTTGCTAATTGTTTTTCCGTGAGCAAGACGATTTTTTCAAAATTTAAGCAATCAAAAAAATGAGCAAAAAACTTAGTCCCACAAAAAGAGCTCAAATTGTTACACTGGCTGATCAAGTCTGACGAAATAGGGGAAAAACCCCAATAAAAAACCTTGTTGGTGATATTAAACTTTCGCAAATGACTAAGTTAACATAATAAGATTTGAACATATATCACAAACTAATTATGACTATGTAATTAAAAATATATAGGTAAAATTACCATAGGCCAAACCAATCTAATATTTAGTTCTTTGAGGTCTTATTTAATTAATAACCCACTGGTTCTTGTCTATGAGGTTTTGTTAAAAACTTTTGAACAGCACAACAAAGTACTTTGGGTTTTTAAATTCATCTCCCCCCAACATACCCCATCCCACCCTCCTCCGAATAAAATGCAAAATTTTAACAGGTGCTCCCAAAGAACGGGAAATCAAATTGGTGGCCTTATATAACATTTTATATATATACATATGTACAATGATGTTATACCCTTCTCTATCCATTCTCAAAACATCCAACGTCACTCAAGTACTCTGAGTTCAATAACAACAAAATCATTTGTTTTTGGTAATTTGTTTGACAATCTATCAACTAGTCAAACTGATCTGCAGTTAATATTTGCTTACAGTTTGTCAATTCCTATGTCTTAGTTAAAGACATGTTTATCCAGACACTTGTTGATTGCTAGTCAAGATCAAGATGCATGTCTCCAACTCCACATGATAACCGGATGTTGGTATTCCCTTGAAAACATATCACAGTGGTTCAGATAGTTGCTTGGGAATAGTTTAAAGGCCTTTCACACAGAAATAAGCATTTAAAGTAATTCGGATCTGTCAAAAAGTTCTCGGAACTTTATCCACAATAAATGATTTTGTTGGCATTATCCCAGAGGTTGAATGTTTTTTTGATGATATTATATATCAACTACTTCAAACCTCTTGACTTTATCTTAGAACCATATCCACAATCACAACAAACTTCTTACCCCTTAACGAGCTAGGATTCATCCATCAAAAATTCAATCATTGCAATTATTCATCTTTTGACAGAAAGAATATTTCTAGCCCTTTCCTTAAAAGCTAACTTTAAATCAACGAAAGCAATCTTTTCATGTATTATTCTCCTCGATAAATTTCCGTCACATATTAAATAGCTTTGAATTAAGTGTAAAATTTTTTTAATAAATAAACCGTCTTCATTAGCCCGGTTGTCTTCATTAGCCCGGTTCGGAGCAGAACAGTAGGACGTTAAACCCCATTTCATTTCATTTCATTTCTTAATAAATAAACAAATGGATTGACGGCAAACTGAGCACAAATAATTTTATACCTAGATCAAAAATCCAGTTACTTTGATAGTTTTCTTCAAATAGCAATTTTATCATAAAGTCTGTCATTGAGTCGACTGGTGTGGTTTCGAATCCCCGGTTGTACGTGACAAGTCGTAGGGTCGCCTGTCCAACCTCGTGAGTTTTCTCCGGGTCCTCCGGTTTCCTCCCACTGCTAAAGATTCCCTATGCGCAAGCGAATTAGTGAAATAAAATTAAACCATATGTTAGTCCCGAAATGACCTAGTTTGTGTCGAGTGGAGTGGTCGTTAATCTCTCTCTCTCTCTCTCTCTCTCTCAAATAGCAATTTATCCCAATGCAGTTTTTTTTGGATTTCAGTTTTCATTTTAATTCAGAAGAAACATTCCTGGAATCAAAGTAAAACCTAATTGACCTTTCTATATATATAGACAGAGAAATGAGGTTTAACATCCACTCGACACAAACTAGGTCATTTCGGGACTAACATATGGTTCAATTTTATTTCAACAGCGGGATTAAACAGGAGGACCCAGAGAAAACCCACGAGGTTGGACAGGCGACTCTACTACTTGTCACGTACAACCGGGGAATCGAAACCACGCCAGTTGACTAAATGACAGACCTTATGATGCAGCTGCACATACTGACCATTCGGACATCCAACATACCCCCACCCCCCCTTCTTTCTATAGACACTTAATTCAAAGCTAACTCCAATTATCAGAGATCTCCATATTATATTTCGGAATATTTCTTGATCTATTCAGATCAAAAAATGCATTGAAATGGCTAAATAAGTATTATTGTTAATTGGTTATTTTTCTTCATTTCTTTAATATGAGCAAATTACGTTTTCTTTATTTACAAATTTACATGTGCACCCCTTTAATTCATAGCACTTTTTTCAAAAATTAATCTTAAGTTAATATTTCTACATTTTCATTGACAGTTAACTTAAAGATACATTATGTATGATTTAGATAAAGAGCTGGGGCCTGTTTCACGAAATTTTAACTAAGATAAAATCCAGATTTTAGTAATTTGATTGGATAATAGATTGATTTAAGTGCTTAGCCAATCAAAATTGAAGTATCTACTAAAATTTGGATTTTATCTTTAGTTAAAATTTCGTGAAACAGGGCCCTGGTCATTCTTGCTATAATGTACAGGTCACAATTCTATGGAATACAATTACTGCTTATTACTGGGCGACGTTTCGATTAGACTTCTCTAGTCATTAGTAATAATGACTAGAGAAGCCTAGTCGAAACTTCACCCAATGAAATTCTCTATATAAATATTATAAGGTCTGTCGTTTCAATTTCAGTATCTTTGTAAGGGAATTGAACCAATTTAGGACTAGGACCTATATTCCTATGATTCTTTGATAATGACTAGAGAGAGAGAGAGAAATGGGTTTAACGTCCACTCGACACAAACTAGGTCATTTCGGGACTAACACATGGTTCAATTTTATTCCAATAATTCGTTTGCGCGTTTGGGTCTTTAGCCGTGGGAGGAAACCGGAGGACCCTGAGAAAACCCACAAGGTTGGACAGGCGACCCTACTCCTTGTCACGTACAACCGGGGAATCGAAACCCCGCCAGTTGACTCAATGACAGACTGTATGATACAGCGCGCGGGTGCTAACCATTCGGCCATCCAACACCCCAATGACTCGAGAAGCCTAGTGGAAACGTTGATCAGTAATAAACAATAATTGTATTCCAGTTCAATTACTAAATGCCACTGAAACAATTTTGCTATAATAGTTCAAAAATAGATACCGGTAATGAAAAATGAATATATACCAGTATTAAAAATTCCATTCAAATTACTTTATTCTAGACAAAGTTATGAGTGCAGTTGTTTAAATCCATTTAAATCTCTGCCATCTGATAGTCTAGAGAATTGATTATGAGCTTGTCATGTGACTAAATGTCTAAATAATAATTTATATAACATTTGAAGCCATAAAAAAGACCTGTAGTAGGCTGATTTAGCTCTTACATAATGCATCTTTAAAATTAAAAGGGTGTATTTTCACAAACTATCTGTTATTGCCTTTTAAAACTGCCATTTGTCTTAAGAATAATGATGAAGGTGGTTTTATACAAATGATGGATTTGGATCATTAGCATCAGGACTTAAAATATCAATGATCTATCAATTTAAAGTGACAATTGCATTTTTTTATACATTTAAAATATGTTAAAATAAAACTTTAAAATACATGGAATCTATACAGTCCTACCTTATTAAAGAATGATCCTGTTAATTTTCCAGGGAAAAATCATACAATTTCCATGTAGGCCTACTGTGTGCGACTAGAAAATATTTCAAATTTTTATGTGAATGCTTTGTAAATGCTTGAATGATTCCTATGATTGTAAAGTAGAAATTTGACAATCTATTAAGTAATAAATATATAAATAATTATGTTTGGAGTTAGAAAACATGAAATTACCGCTTTAAGCTCTGGCTGGAATTAGGCTACGAATACGATACAAAAAAAAAAAAATATGCCTGATTAATTTTTAACACCTGAGATGGTTTTTGTCCTAATTAAAAGGACTAAGGCATTTAGTACAATCTGTTGTCTCTCAAAGATGGCATGTTTTTTTTAAAGGATGTTTTTTCTTATTTCAAACTCAAATCAACACTATGCAAACAGCTTAACCCTTCATGTATATTGAAAGGGAAGTTACTCTTAAATTTACCCATTCTGCTTTGCTTCCAAATTGGGTTTGCTTTATAAAACACTGTTTAACATTACTGTTAATAAAGATTTAATTAGGTTTAATTTCTCGAGCGGTCTGCTCCTAAGCCAAGCCTCCTAGGTGGAACTGTGTAATTCACCATATCCCTCTAGAGGGTAATTTGATTCCTGCAACACCTCTAGGAAGAAATGGTTTCCTGTCTTGACACAACACGCTGTGAGCTCAACCGAGAGCCAGTTCTTTCTTAACCAGCATAATTCTTTGTTTATCATATAAAATGTAATATAACATTTTAAAATAATACTAACTTAACATGTAAACCATATAAATCTAAGCAAACATAACTTGAGTATGACATAGGCCTATACACAAGCACAACTGGCGAATTCAAAGGCCTTTACTCCAGCACAACTGGAAAATGACATAGGCCTATACTCAAATACAACTGGAGCATGACGAAGACTCAAGCACAACTGAGCATAGCTCTATACTCCAGTACAAAGGGTGCATGACAAAGGCCTATGCTCAAGCACAACTTGAGGATAACATAGACCTATACTTAAGCACAACTTGAGCACAAAATAGGCCTATACTCAAATCACATCAAAATCTGTTTGTGTTGTTCAGATAAAAATAGTTCAAGGAAAATTCAGCTAACAGCTATGACATTAGGAGTGGATAACACAAGATGAATAAGATGTATCATATTGTACTAATGGACAGTTACCTTTTAAAAGGATAGTTTTTCAACACAGCTTAACCCTATATTAAAAGGGAGATAACTCTTAACGTGCCCTTAATAGAAAGACCTTCACATTTGGATCACAAAATTAATCTTAGAAATATACTGGCATATTATTCAAGTCAGGTCTAGGCCATAATAATGTTTTTGATGTTTAACATAAATGTAAAAAGTGATTAAATAAAATCAACTTTGAAGTCAGGTCTAGGTCTTAATAATGTCTTTTATGTTTTACTGAGATGCAAGAATTAATTAAATAAAATCTTCCTTATGATGTTATTCAATCTTGGAAACGACTGCAGGCTTTCTTCCATTTACATTGGGTACACCATTGATCCCTGTTTTCCATTCCGTAAATTTTCCGGCATTTTCTCACCTCGCTGCGAGGTTTGCGATGCATGGCGTTTGATTTTGGTGAGGAGGAGAAGAGATGAGATTTTGGTGATTGAGCTTGATGTTGTTGCAGACGCGCTTGAGGAGAAAGTCGATTACTGCGGATCGGGGAGGATATCTGAAAAAAAGAATTAAATATATAATGTACCAGTATATTTAGTCTCTGTTTTCCAGAACTACATTGTCTATGCTCTCTCAACAACTATTGTATATTTAGCCTCTGTTTTCCAGAATTATATTTTCTATGCTCTCTCAACAACTATTGTATCTGGCTACATCCCATCCTTGGTATCTGCCCTTAGATGCACTACATCCATCAATTGACTAAGACCACTATACCAGTACCAAGAATTGGGCATGACATAGGGTACTGGTGCACATGTGTACCAGTACCAAGAATTGGGCATGAGATGAGGTTTAACGTCCACTCGACACAAACTAGATTATTTTGGGACTAACATATGGTTCAATTTTATTTCAATAATTCACTTGCGCGTAGGGGTCTTCGGGACGAAACCGAAGGACACTGAGAAATCCCAAGAGGTTGGACAGTTGACCCTACTCCTTGTCACGTACAACTGGGGAATCGAAACCACGCCAGTTGACTCAATGACAGACCTTATGATACAACAGTCATTCCGCCATCCCCCCTCCCTCTCCTCACAATGCAGTATAAAATATACTTACCGAGAGAGCATTAGGTGATGAATTTTGTGAGTTCTGCCATGATAGAGATCTCTTGACGTTACCATCAATAACTTTAATTGGAATAGGTGTACTAGACATACCGGGATTCATGTGAAATCCAGGGGAGGGAACTGAAGAAGCCTGGCTACCACTATTATGGCGATGTTCCTGAAAAAAAGTTTGCGGGGATTAAGTATAATAATAATAATAATAATAATGTTCAATCCACTACAATCTGAATAAAACACAGATCTTCTTTCGTTTCATTTTTTATAGTTCAAAATTTCGATTTACTTGTCTTTACTACACTAGGATCTGAAAGAGTTGTTATATTACCAGGGTTCTGGTTGACGTGAGTGATTAGCCAATGAAATGGTCTTTTACAGAGAGTTCATGGCGTTTAATGCACGGAACTCTGGATAAATCACTAGAAACATCAACGCTGATTAATTAATCAATGTCTAACGTCATAGGGTCAAAAGCCGCTTGTATGACACCTTGACACAATCTACCAGTACAGCAGGTCAAATCTTCATGTAGTATAAAAAACGAAACGAAATATAGATCTGTATTTTAATCAGATTAAATCCACTAGGGAATTCTCTTGGCACCAGAAAATGTTCCCACTTTGGATTGTTAACGGCAGTGACTAAACAACCAAGTTTCCACTGACACATAATCGCAATGTCAGATATTTCCGGATTTGCATTCTTAAAGATACATGATGTAAGATTTAGATAAAGAGCTGACCGTTCTTGCTATAATAGCTCAAAAATAGATAATGAACAAGCGGTTCACATTTCACGAAATTGGAACTCAACCGTCATAATGGTTTAACGGTGATATATTCCGTATTTTTTAAATTGATTAAAAATTGTGACCCCTAGAGGGACCACTAGCTAAAAACGTGATTTTTAATACAATTGGGGGCCATAATCCAGGAGGTTACGGTCCAATACATGTCAATATCGAAAGGCGCTAAGATATTTGGGAGATAAACCTATATTTCAAGTTTCAGATAAAAATTGTGACCTGTAGACTGTCCACAAACAAATTGTGGACGGACGGACAGGGGCGACAACAATATACGTCCACATAAAAATGTGGGCGTATAAAAATGAATATATTGAAAATTTCAATAAAATGCCTTTATTCTCAGCCAAGTTATCATTGTTTGTAGTTTTTGCAAAAATATGTGCATTACCGTAGGTGTTTATTACGGTCTGAATATATAGAGAAGAATTTGGGGTTATTCTTCCAGGGTAGATTTTTTTCCATAAGAAAACATGATATAAGGTTTTTCTTACTGAAATTCTGGATAATCTCATTTTACCTACATGTAAACATAGACGGTTTATAAGCAAGATAAAGTCCTCAACTTTGGTTATGCTAGGGAAGAAAGACTTCAGAAAAAACCCTCAGGTTTTCTTTTTATCAGGTTATTTTCTTCAGTCTTTCTTTACCCAGCATAACCTCAGTCTGGTGCTTTATCCTATACATAATGTACCTTAAAATAAATTAATTTTACCTTTCTTTGGTAATCATGATCAAATACACCGAGGGATTTGGGATCAATTAATTGTAAGTTACTGGGAGGGGATGATGTCGTCATATACGAGAATTTCTCTGTCACATTATCAATATTAACTTCAACTTCCGTAAAATAAAATTCTTCTTCATTATCAGATAATTCGCTGTCACTGTCTCTCCTATAAAATATACAGATAATGATGAAATGGGGTTTAAGATTTTATAAAAGACAATAGATCAGTCATTTTATAAAAGACAATAGATCAGTCATTTTATAAAAGACAATAGATCAGTCATTTTATAAAAGACAATAGATTAGTCATTTTATAAAACACAATACATGTAGATCAGTCATTTTCTAAAACACAATACATGTAGATCAGTCATTTTATAAAACACAATTCATGTAGATCAGTCATTTTATAAAACTCAATACATGTAGATCAGTCATTTTATAAAACACAATACATGTAGATCAGTCATTTTATAAAACACAAAACATGTAGATCAGTCATTTTATAAAACACAATACATGTAGATCAGTCATTTTATAAAACACAATAGATCAGTCATTTTATAAAATACATTTTGTAAAATATGTAATTACATGTTACACAGTCTGTAATACAAAATTTTGAAGATGATGTGTTTGGCTTTCAGCTAAAATAAATATCAGACTGCAGTTATTTATTTATTTAGAATTTTGTAGTCAAATAATAAAGAAATACATTCAAATAAAGAATTGAAATGAAATTAAATGAAATGGGGTTTAACGTCCCACTGTACCGCTCCGACTGGGTTGATGAAGACGGGCATACGCCATACAGTGTGCTATGAGGGAATTTTTGTCCAGACAGCAGACTGTCCTACTATTGTTTCGTGTTACAACTGTCAAGGACTCTATTGTGTGCATGCCATTGTGTACACAGGACCTTGCTTTTTTGTCCCATCTAAATGACTAGACAGCTGTCCTTGTCAGGCCCTCCGTCCTGCACAACTGACAAGGGGAAACCACAGCGGAAAATCCTGATGAACTTTCTAGACCATTGTGTACACAGGACCTTGGCACTTCAGAGGAATAATCAATCTTTTGACTTTCTAACTTTTTTTTCAAAGATGACAATTTATAAAAGTGTACATACCCAAGATAATTTATAAAAGTGTACATACCCAAGATAGTTTATAAAAGTGTACGTACCATAATTTGTAAAAGTGTACGTACCCAAGATAATTTATAAAAGTGTATATACCCAAGATAATTTATAAAAGTGCACATACCCAAGATAATTTATAAAAGTGTAGACACCCAAGATAATTTATAAAAGTGCACATACCCAAGATAATTTATAAAAGTGTACATACTCAAAATAGTTTATAAAAGTGCACACACCCAAGATAATTTGTAAAAGTGTACATACCCAAGATAGTTTTTAAAAGTGTACGTACCCAAGATAATTTATAAAAGTGTACATACCCAAGATGAGCTGTACGAACATGTCTCTCTATCTCATTTACAGTGTTATAAATAGTTTTACATTTTGGCCATGTACACTGATATCGTATCTCTGTGTGAACCTGAAAAATACAAATCAAATATTTTTATTAACTATTGATTGCCGTTTAATATATAAGGGGGGGGGGGTATTCTGAGAAAGGGGGGGGGGGATGGCCGATTGGTTAGCACGTGTGTCTTGTATCATAAGGTCTGTCATTGAGTCAACTGCCGTGGTTTCGATTCCCCGGTTGTACATGACAAGGACTGAAATAGTAGAGTCTCCTGTCCAACCATGTAGGTTTTCTCCAGGTTCTCCGGATTCCCCCCACGACTAAAGACCCCTATGTGCAAGCGATTTATTGAAATAAAATTGAACCATATGTTAGTCCCGAAGTGATTTAGTTTGTGTTGAGTGGACGTTAAACCCCACTGACTCAATGACAGACCTTATGATACAGCCACACCAGCCCCCCCATTTTCTGGAAATAAGACAAAAATGGTTCTAAAATCACATAGTAATGTAATTTGAATGTTCGTAAAGTGGTTTAAATTTATTTTTTGGAACAAATATTGTAATTTCTAACCATTTATGTTTGGTGAACAGTTCAAATTGAGCGGCAGTCGTTTACGCCTGCTAAGTGCATTCTATACGTTTTTTAAATTATTATTTTGTTGTTTGTTATTCAGCCATTACTAATTACCTCCACATTGTATTGTAAGATATGTTTTTATTTGTTCATTACAAAATGGCACCCCTAAACCATAGGGTACACGACTCATGTACTGATTATTGTGTCTTAAATATTGGATATTAGGATCCTGTAGTTTCACGGCAAGATAACAACATCAATATTGATTGAAATTGATCAATATTGAATTCTAATTCATGTTTTTAATTTCAAATATCATGGAAAATATTGAGCTAAGACTTAGCTTCTTTGATGTGTTATTAAAGATAAGATTATGTAAGAGCTAAATTTCCCAATTACATAATGCATCTTCTTTATTATCCATTCAGTTTTGTCTTCATTGTTTAGATGAATTATAGAAACAAACTTATGAGGCATGTGTGTGTGTGTGTGGGGGGGGGGGGGAGGGGGTCCCCCGACCTAATGTGTACTGGTTCCCCCCGACCCCTAATGTGTACTGGTAGTTTTTTTAAGGATATTTGAAGGATGTATGATAGATATTTGAAGGATATTGAAATATATTTTGTGTTATTAATAGTTTTTAAAGAAGCTATATTGAAGGATATTTCACATATATTTTGAACGATATTTTAAGTATATTTTAAAGGATATTTGAAGTATATTTTGTGTTATTGAAAGATTTTCTTAAAAATTAAAAGCACACTTGAAGAAGTAAATTTTTCATGTATATTTTGAGGGCTATTTTGAGGTATATTTTGAGGGCTATTTGAAGGCTATTTTGGAAGATATTTGAAGGATATTTCAGGTGTGTTTTGTGTTTGAAGAATATTTGAAGGATATTTGAAATTCATTTTGTGTTATCAATAGTTTTTTTTTATTAAATTAAAAGGAAATTTGAAGTGTATTTTAAAGTATATTTTGAGGGCTATTGGAGGATATTTTAAGGATATTTTGAAGAGTATTTGAAATATATTTTGTGTTATCGATAGATTTTTTTTTAAATTAAAAGAGAATATGAATTAGATTTCAACGTATATTTTGAGGGCTATTTGAAGTATATTTTGAGGGCTATTTGAAGTATATTTTGAAGAATGTTTGAAGGATATTTTGAAGGATATTTTCAGGAATATTTGAAGGATATTGAGGCTATTTTAAGTATATTTTGTGTTAATCATAGTTACATGTATATTGATTTGCCCCCTGTTGTTATACAGCATCTGGTGTCACTATCAACTGAAGGTATTAACATTGTGATAAATTAAAACTTGTTATTATTGATTTAAATAATCACCTGTTACCAGTAACTCTTATATTTCAAATATTTATCTTACATGTCTATTGAGGGGAGTTGATGGTGGCCAGAGAATAAGGGGATCCTTCATTCTCAGTCCAGCATGTCCAGAATTGGCAGAATTTCAATCGAATGATGCGGAATTCAGTCCTGTCGCAGTTCTGTCAGTCCCGACCACAGTAGTGGTGTGAGTAGAATCGTGTCGTAATTAAACACAACAAATATGTTTCAGCTGTTATGGATGTTTGAGATGTTTTCTTATTCAGTTGACACATGCGTTTTAGCTCGAAATACCCCTTTTCACTCGATTGTCAGAATTTTGGGGATTGAGAGAATTCAATTCCGGAATGTTTAATCGAGTACCCCCTAAGTAATTACACAAAGATAGCCATTGATCTTACATGTCTATCAAGGAAAGTATCATAAGGTCTGTCATTGAGTCAATGGGGTTTAACGTCCACTCAACACAAACTAGGTTATTTTGGAACTAACATATGGTTCAATTTTATTTCAATAATTCACATGCACATAGGGGTCTTTAGCTGTGAGAGGAAATAATTGGAGAATCTGGAGAATACCCACAAGGTTGGACAGGCGACCATACTCCTTGTTACATACAAGCAGGGAATCGAAAAACCATGCCACTTGACTCAATGACAGACCTTTCGATTTAAGATAACGAGAATGCACATAATGATGATGATAATAAGCTAACTGTTGAGTTAAAGCTTGCATATATTGTATATACATATGTCACAGATTAATTTCATATGCATGTATCACATGTCCTGGTGTATATATTATATATAATAAATTGATGGACTATATATATATATGTACAGGCACAATAAACGATAGGTCACTCCATGTCAATATATGCTGATAAGGCTATATTTAATTAGCTTTGTCATTTCATTAAAGATACATTATGGAAGATTAGATAAAGAGCTGGCAGTTCTCACTATAATAGTTAAAAACTTGAAAATGTAAAGGGAATATGCTGATATTGCTCCACTCTGAACCGAGATATTAGCGATTGAATTTTAGACCTAGCCTTGATCATCATTACTAAAGTCAGTACGATAAAAAACATAGTCACAATTATCTATTTTTGGATTTAATCATCAATGAGCGATGTGCTGCAGATCAGATTCAAACCCAGTGAAAATCCGACACATAAGATGGCATCGAGAGTTGATTAAGGTCTTTTAATGTTAATAAATGTTAATAATTGTCTAATTAATAGTTTATAATAACAATTCAAGCCTAATGAAAGATCTGCAATAGGCAGATTTAGCTCTTGCATAATGTATGTTTAATTTGATTCTTGATAAAATAAATATTCAAGATGTTCGATCCCTGCATTGGCTGAGAAAGTTCATTAGGATTTTCCGGTGTGGTTCCTCCTTGTCAGTGGTGCTGGACTGATGGCCTGGCAAGGGACAACAAATAGTTGTTTGGATGGGACAAAAAAGCATAGTCTAGTGTACACATGTAAATGATCCCTTGGCAGTAGGCTGTAGTTCCGCTGTCGTGGCAAAATGTCCCTCATAGCCCAGTCAGAGCAGAACAGTAGGACGTTAAACCGCATTTCATTTCATTTCATTTAGCTACTCAAATGACAAGCTATCAGATTGTTAAATGACTTTTGACATAGCTCGGTAATAAATATTGTTTATTATTTTTATTTTTAGTTATTTGTGAAAGCCAAGTGCATATTAATATACATATCAATTCTATTTTTGTCACCAAATCTAAGTATAGTAACTGGTTTTATGTACAGCCTAAGGCTACAAACTTGTCAAATCTGAACTATTTAGAAATGAATAAAATTGTTATGAATATAGGGCCTAAAGCCAGTTTTATTCACAGACAATATGACCGGATACTTTAAGTCCAACATTTGGAATTTTATGATGCTAACAATATCTGGGGACCAAGAAAGTGCACTAGTGGCAGATTTAACCAAAGTGAAAGGGAGAAATGGGGTTTAATGTCCACTTAACAAAAATTATGTCATTTTGGGACTAACATGTGCTTCAAATTTATTTCAATAATTTGCTCATACATGAAAGAGAATTATTGAAATATAATTGAACCATATGTTAGTGAAAAAATGGATGGGGGGGGGGATGGCCGAATGGTTAGCGCTGTTTCATAAGGTCTGTCATTGAGTCAACTAGTTATATGTGACAAGGAGAAGGAAAAACTCAATTATTCTGACTGACTGCTGTAAATAATTCATTTTCTAATCTCTCCTGGGTCTAAATTATCCCAACAGAACAGTAGGAGGTTAAAACCCATCTCATTTCTTTACTCTCTCTCTCTCTCCCTTATATATATATATATATATATATTAACTTATATATTACATAGTGTTTGTGGGTTTTCTTCGGGTCCTCCAGTTTCTTCCCATTGCAAAAGACCCCTATGAGCAAGCGAATTATTGAAATAAAATTAAACCATATGGTCATCCTGAAATGACCTAGTTTGTGTCAGGTGGATGTTAAACTCTCTCTCTCTCTCTCTCTTAACTTATATATTGCATAGTGTTTGTCTCCCCTCTCTCTCTCTCTCTCTCTCTCTCTTTCTCTCTATTAACTTATATATTGCATAGTGTTTGTCTTCCCCTCTCTCTCTCTCTCTCTCTCTATTGTATATATATTAACTTATATATTACATAGTATTTATACACCTATTACTAATATATCATTGTTTATATAGGTTAATATAACCTACCTATCAAAGCTGCAGTGAATTTGTAATATATATATTTTTTTACCATTATATAAGTAAGTAAAATATATCCAAATTCATAAACCAGTCAATCCTTATTATTGTTAGGTTTATTTTTACATAATATAGGCCAAACCAATTTGATTTTCTGTTCTTCGTGGTCTTGATGAAAATGAAATGAAATGGGGTTTAACGTCCTACTGTTCTGCTCCGACTGGGCTAATGAAGACGGGCATACGCCATACAGTGTGCTATGAAAGAAATTTTGCTCGGACAGCGGCACTACGGCCTACTCTTATATCGAATTCCAACTGTCAAGGGATCTTTTACGTGCACGCCAATGTGTACACGGGACCTCAGGTTTTCGTCCCATCCGAATGACTAGACAGCTGTACTTGTCAGG